CTGTATCATATAGTAATGAAACGTAAAATGGCATTTAACTGACGAGGTATTTTGCTGGTTGTGACAGTGCACTGCAACATATTTGATCTAATTAATTTTAGTCTCATTTATTTGTATTTATCATATTTATATATGTTTAGTAGCTTGTGGAAGTGCGCTCCAAAATATTTGTTGATCTTGTTTATTGGTATTTATTATTTTGATATTATTTATTTAAATGTATCATTTATTTTATTTATTTTTGTATTGGTTTTTCAGTTGAATTATACGTTCAGGGTAATCAACAGTTAAAAAGATACTGTTCAAATTATTATTTGTATTTGTTTTAAAGTTCAATAAATGGATGTTTTCAAAGTCAATGAATAATCGTATTGAATAATCGCAATATCAATTATTGACCCAAATAATCGTGATTATGATTTTTGCCATAATCGCACAGCCCTAACTTTTACAATCACGCCCTCTAGTCTACAGTGGCTTTAGCCTGTAGAAGCTAGTAAGCCTACTATTTGATTTGTTTTAGATAGGCACAACATGTTTCATATGCAGACCTTATTTGCCAGCTTACCATGTTAAAATAAAAATGTTTCAGTGGTACCGCTGAGAAGAGTAATTTGTTTGGTCATGGAAAATTAGGTAACGGTCATGGAGAAGTCATTGAAAATCATTGGTGAAAAGTGTATGAACCCTGATGCAGCCTGTCCTGCTGCTGGAGCATCACAAAAACACTGGAAATGAGACCGCATGGGGCAAGGCGTTTTACAAACTCATGAGGTCAAAGGTCAAGCAAGTGGAGCCTCAGGAACACTGAGTGAAAATGAAGTCTAGGGGGGTGTGGGAGAGAAACACAGGAATTGTAGCCTTTGCAGACCATTTACATGCACAGAAACCTATATAACACACGACAGGAACAGCAACATAGGGAATATTTGATATTGTGTCACTGTACCTTGTGTTTTATTCCATGGTGATGATATCAGCTGTGAAACCATGATAAAACATAATGAATACACCACATATCAATGGCAATATGCCTCCTGCATTTATCTACAGATTGATATGTTTTATTCTCGAGATTTATCACGGTGCCAACACTGCTGTGTCACATTTTAAGATATGTTTCCACCATTTACCGAATGTGAGACACGATAGAAATATCAACAGATCATTTAAACGGCTTCCCCAAAATGTTTCCTCGTTATTTGTGTTCTATCTTAATATCTGTTAAAAAGAAAACACACCATCTGCCCGTGGCTGCAGATTTATGGTGTGTGTGTGTGTGTGTGTGTGTGTGTGTGTGTGTGTGTGTGTGTGTGTGTGTGTGTGTGTGTGTGTGTGTGTGTGTGTGTGTGTGTGTGTGTGTGTGTGTGTGTGTGTGTGTGTGTGTGTGTGTGTGTGTGTGTGTGTGTGTGTGTGTGTGTGTGTGTGTGTGTGTGTGTGTGTGTGTGTGTGTGTGTGTGTGTGTGTGTGTGTGTGTGTGTGTGTGTGTGTGTGTGTGTGTGTGTGTGTGTGTGTGTGTGTGTGTGTGTGTGTGTGTGTGTGTGTGTGTGTGTGTGTGTGTGTCCTAGCATTACCATCCTTGTGGGGACCGATATCTGTTTACATAGTCACGTGTGGGGACTGGCTTCCCTTATGGGGACAAAATGGAGGTCCCCATAAGGGCAATCATTAATTTTAGGGTGAAGACTTGATTAGGGTTAGGGTTAGGGTTAGGCATGTGTTGGTTATGGTTAAGGTTAGGATAAGTCTCCCTGGGTGGGTGGGTGTGTGTGTGAGTGGGTGGGTGACAATAATAGCTGAGCGGCTCAGGTGTTACAGGACAATGTGACGGTGTATTTATTAACCCTCTCATCTACATGTCACTCCAGATCTTTTGCATTCAGACTGCTGCACTTACAAATCAAAATAGAAAGTGTACGTAAAGTCGTCCTTACAGTTTTTGCGCCCACAACCTCCACGTATATAATAGAGAGTCTACAGCAAGTGCTCAAATTCGCTTTACAAATGTACAATTCAGACAACGAACAAAGATGAAATGAAGTCAATTAGATACAAATACAGAACATTATGAACTGGCCGAGTAATGATAAAAAAACAGGGGGTGAACACCTTTCAAAATAAAACTGAAAAACAGAGAGATCGTGACGCTCTAAAATAAAACACAGACAGATTGTGAGATAGATGTCCATTTTCTGAGTTTTCTTTTGATGTTAGGAAACCTTGTTCAACCGCATTTTATTCACAGCAGAGTATTCTGTGTCATTTCAAATAAGTGTAGAAGGTTATTTTAAACACAGCAGCATTTTGAGATGAACGTCTTCATGCTAACACGCTATGACGTATGCTCGTATTGACCAGGTGATGTTTGGGAGGTTTTTATTGGGAATGTCAGCAGTTTTTGTAGTTTTTGTTGTAACTAGACACATGTATAAATTGACCTGCCGATGGTACTAGATTAGAAAGAGTTGCATTACATGTCACTTGTGAGACACTTATCCAAAGCGACTTACATACAGTACAGGCAATTTTGGGTAAAGTGTCTTGCCCAGGGACACAAAGACATGCTGACTAAAGTGGGGATTGAACCAGTGCTCTTCTCATCCAAAAATCAACGCACTTACCCACTGATTTTAAGAGATTTTAATACGATTTTAAGAGCTACTTACTATAAGCCCTTAACCTAAGAGTTAAGGGCTTATAGTAATAACAAAGTGAAAGGGTTTCATATCATGGATATCTGTATCAATCCATATAACAGTTGTCCAGACATTTGACTGGGCAACGATCTTTCCAGCCCTTAACTATTTCACCCCATGAAATCCTTAAATGAACATATTCCAGCCCAGGTTTACAGACTGAATGAAAAGGGATCATAAAGTATAAAAGATCATTAAATGAATTCAGGCTCCTGAATGTGCACTGGATATCGTGGGAATAAGGTCAGCGAGTAGTTTATTATACTGAATTATTCCATATGAGTTCCCGTTCCCTTCAGCTTTCTGAACCCATGTGGATGAATAATCACCAGCTGCTTTTCTACTGAAAATGTGGTTTGTAAAAAACGCCTCTCAGTCTGAAGAGCTCCGTATTTACGACATGCTTCTGAAGATGGTGTGACCTAGCAGCTAACGCACGGTTTTAGAAGAAGACTCAGCAAGTCTACAACCCAAATAATGGACTTAAAAGGAAGAAGGCCATATTTTATCACATGGAAATGTTCGTATTACAGTCCAAACTATTGAGCAATTTCATAAAGTCATTCAGTTTGACTATAGATCGAGTTAAATCAGGTGTAGAAAATCTAAATATGAATACATCGAGACACAAATGGTTCCTTAAATCATGTTTAAACGTTGTATAGTAAGTTTAAGCGTGGTGGTACCTTATAACTGTCTCGAAAGTCTCTTTATTCTGTGTCGTTTGTTTGCATTAAGGACACAACAGATGCCTTTTCAATGCTATTTTTAACGTAGAACTTACACACCATCAAATTGAAAAGTGTCGTAATAAGCTCGGTTTTTATTTGGGTTGTCTATCTGTCCTTACCTGAGTAACACCTGGAGATTAAGGTCGCTGTACGTGGCCATAACTCAAGATTTCAAACTATAATTGTCTATAAATTGTTGATTAAAAAAGTGTTAAAATTGGTGATACTTTTGAACACTGGTTGGCAGAGGCGTGAACGATGAAGGGATAATTCTAGATCTGTCTGTACAAATTATTTGGTTTCACATCAGAGGCATATTTTTAATTTTTTGAAAAGTTGTCATTACCCTGAACAACATATGGTTTTTATAACATCCACCGTTCAACAGAGACATTTGACAGATTATAACACGGGGCTAAACACAGCAGACCTATAATAGCAAACAATGGACAAACCTTCAAAAATAAATATCAATCCACAGACTTAAAAGCTGCTATTTCTTTTAAATGTGTATATCAACAATGGCTTGAATGACTCAGTAATATGAGGGGAAGAAAGTCTTATAAATGCTAATGCCTGCTGGATGTGTGACTCTCAGCTGATGATGAGGTGATAACATGTCATGTTGACAGCTTGTTGTTCCGCCCCCCCAGTGTAAAAATCAATGCAAAGTGATTTCACACAGGCTGTTTCCTTGTGATATTGAATGATGATGTCCCTTTTAAACGGGAACAGAATAACTGCTTGTGACATCTTGTGGATCACATCCAGAGTCTTTTAAAAAGGTGCCAATAGCAGTGGTGATGGAGGGCAATTTAAAAAGGCCATGATGAGGACAATATGGACATCACCAGGATAGAAGGAGGGATGTGTGTGGGTAGAATCGTAATGTATGCTGATCAATAATGAATACAAAAATGTCAGAACATGTTGTTTTCAGCCTCTCAAATATGGATATTACCTATTTTTCTGTTTTATATCATATTAAATTAAATATCTTTTGGTTTTTAACTGATAAAACATGACATTTCTCTGTTGATCCCCTCTCATAATTGTGAGGTACTGTAGGTGTTACACAGTGTTGTAGCTTAATAACTAACTAAGCATTGCCTACTTCTTTGGTAACAGAATAATTGCTTGTGACGTCTTGTGGATAATATCCAAAGTCTTTAAAAAGGTGCCAATAGAAGTGGTGATAAGTACACGGGGGCAATTTTAAAAGGCAGAGAGGACAATGTGGACTTCACAATATGGCTTAAATGCATTGTGGGTAGAATTGTAATGTATGATGATCAATAATGAATAGAAAAGTCATATTTTAAACACAAATTTGTCAGAAAATGTTGTTTTCAGCCTCTCAAATACGGAGATTTCACATCTTTTCTATTTTATATCATATTAAATTGAATATCTTTTAACTGATACAAACTATTTTACATTACCTCCATGTTCAAAACCCTCTGTGAGGCTAATACCGTAAGATCCCGTCTTCTCACAAATGTATTTTCTTATGTTTACGTCTCCTAAACTATCGTACCTTGATAACTAACCCAGCATTGCTTCCCCCTCTCAGACCCACCTTCCGGTACTTCACCTGGCACACCTGTGTGTTGGGGATCATTGGCTGTGTCGTCATGATGTTTCTCATCAACGCCATCTACGCCTCGGCCAGCATCGCCTTCATGCTGCTGCTCCTGCTGCTCATCCACTACCTGAGCCCCACCTCCAGCTGGGGCTACATCAGCCAGGCCCTCATCTTCCACCAGGTCTGACACACACACACACACACACACACACACACACACACACACACACACACACACACACACACACACACACACACACACACACACACACACACACACACACACACACACACACACACACACACACACACACTGATATCCACATTCAATACCGCCTTGTCATTACTAGAGCAACTAAAATCTCATCCCCATAGCTTTACAAGAGTCTGCCCCTCTGCCAAGCGATCGTTCCTTTCAGTTTATAGAGACACGCACACACACACACACACGCACCCACGCACGCACGCACGCACACACACACACACACACACACACACATCTCTGCTGCCTCTCTCCCTCTAGCCGAGCACTTTGCATCGAGCAGACAAACACTCACACGTACACAAAACACTGCCTTGTCATCCCTACAGCAGCTATCTATCACATTTATAGCAGGGCTACCAGACACACACACACACACACACACACACACACACACACACACACACACACATACACACACACTTCAGCATCTTTACCCTCAGCAGCAGAGCTCTTAGCATCTACCAGACACACACACACACACACACACACACACACACACACACACACACACACACACACACACACACACACACACACACACACACACACACATACACACACACACGCACACACACACACACACAGCTTCACAGTGCATCATCCCTCTCTCCATGTCCTGAGCCTGTTGCTCTCAAGGAGAATGGAAGCGCTTGCCAGTAGGGCCTGTTGCCGATGGGAACTGTTGCCAAGGCTGCGCTGGGAGTGGGGGGTTAGGGGCTTTTGGGGTGGGGGGGGGGGGTTGGCTGGGTTTGCCGGCGGCTCGTCAGGAGGCAGAACATTATTACAGCCACTTAACTTATTGAGCTGTCCCTCGTTCCCTTTTCTCTTCTCCTTATCTGCTCTGCTGTTCCTCTGAACACGAGAGGCAGATACGAGCAGTAGCCCCCCTGCATGCTAGGGGAAGACAGCTATTGTTTGCTGTATTGCTTGTTGGATAGATAGCTAACTTGCGCGAAGTAGTTTGTGAGATAGGGTACAAAGCAATGTCAACACTGTGGACATTTGTCTACCCTTCTGGCAGTGAGAGTTAGGGATGCATATCGTTGACTTTTTTACGATACCGATACCGATACCGATACCACTGAACGATACCGATACTCAACCGATACATATCGTGATACTTTCATGTTGCATAAGGGAAACATTTTATCATCCCGCAATTACTCCCATGAAGCGCTTTATTATATAATTAACATGTCAAATGAATATTAAATTCAATTGTGGGACTTGGACCTTTTAGTACTGAACAAACAATGAAAAACACGTTATCTATGAAGAAAACTGATTCTGCAATATCATTTATAACAACCATCAGGCGAGAATAGCACATCTTGTCAATGGAAAAATAAAATAGCACCAGTATAATCAATATTCAACCTGAGATTCCACTGACCAGAGAACACATAAAGGATCATGAGATCTCGGCATTGCACATAAAACAAATAGCATCCTTAAAATCAACATTTGCCTGATGAAAGAAAACAAATCCCATCACAGTTCAGTTTTGTGCATTCATCTTCAAGAAGATGAGCATATCTGCTCTCTGGATCCAAACGGGCCCTTTCACAGCGTAGGGTCTCACCTGCTAAACTGAACACTCTCTCTCTTGGCACGCTGCTTCCCTGAACACAAAGGTACTTGGTTGCCATACGAGACAGCATTGGTTGGAGATTGGATGTGTTGCCACCTTTCCCAGAAATAAACTTCTTGCAGTGGTTACAGACCCCACCATTCAGACTGGCAGTGGTTACAGACCCCACCATTCAGACTGGCAGTGGTTACAGACCCCACCATTCAGACTGACAGTGGTTACAGACCCCACCATTCAGACTGGCAGTGGTTACAGACCCCACCATTCAGACTGGCAGTGGTTACAGACCCCTCCATTCAGACTGGCAGTGGTTACAGACCCCACCATTCAGACTGGCAGTGGTTACAGACCCCACCATTCAGACTGGCAGTGGTTACAGACCCCACCATTCAGACTGGCAGTGGTTACAGACCCCACCATTCAGACTGGCAGTGGTTACAGACCCCACCATTCAGACTGGCAGTGGTTACAGACCCCACCATTCAGACTGGCAGTGGTTACAGACCCCACCATTCAGACTGGCAGTGGTTACAGACCCCACCATTCAGACTGGCAGTCATATGCAGCCACACTTTAGATTTTCAAAAGTGACTTGGTTGCGGAGTTTCACTGCGAAATTGACATCGTAATTCCAACGGTTTGGGCACAAGTTTAAGGATATTATGCCTCACTTTTATAAAAAATAAAAAATAAAAAATAAATTAAAAAAATAAATAAATAAAAAAGTATCGAAAACCGGATCTGATTTCGGTACGGTATACCGTAGCCACCAGTAACCGGTATTTCGGTAATACCGGGAACCGGTATGCACCCCTAGTGAGAGTTATTATTTACTGTTGACATGAGATTTAATATCGAGTCAGAACCGTTTGAATGTTTTGGCAGTCGCTCGTTGCCGACCCGTCTACACCAACAGACACTACAGAGTTATCAAAGATGTCCTTATATGAGACATGAGCTGTTCGTCCAGCCAGCCGCTAACAGAGGATGGATGTGTTTCTGTAAAACCATCAGGTCGCTGTGAATGTTCCCAAAGATAATGTCCAATGCTGCTAGGACATATCTGGAAGTAACACATTTTGGTTTGACCGTGAGTAGAAAAAGAGATGGGACTACATGAGGGTAAATCAGACTTGGTGGCAATATGACGTTTTCCAATTAGATACATGGATGGATTTCTGATGTATGAACATCTCAATGAACAGGCTTTGTGCTCTTCATACAGGAGTGTTGTTCATCAAGATATGGCAATCATGACTTTCTGCAGCTCCTGATATTGACACTAAATGAAAACTAGATAAAACTTGAAATGCATGTCATACCTTTTTACTAATTTTACGAATGTGCCAAGGAGCGCCGTCCGGTTTAAATGATTCCACTAACAGGAGGACAGGCAAATGAGCACATGTACACATGTCTCTTACATGGTGCTAGTAATATCTGGATGTAACACATTTTGGTTTGACCGTAAGTAGAGAAAGGGATGGGACAAATGAGAGTTGGTGACGATATGTCGTTTCCTAATTAGAAGCATGGATGGATTTCGGATCAATTGCCTGGGATTTGATACAGGAACATCTCAAGGATCAGGCTTTATTTTGTTCATAAATGAATATTGTTTAACAAGATATGGCAATCATGACTTTCTGCAGCTCTTACGATCCTAATGTTCCCCTCAGGATAAAGAAAGTGTGCCCATTCTGATATAAGATATGTTTCATTCCATAAAAAACACTTAATGAAAATGAGATAAAACCTGAAATGCATGTCCTACCTTTTTACTACTTTCACAAATGTGCCAAGGAGCCCCGTCCGGTTTAAACTGTTCCACTAACAGGTTTCAGGCCGAGTGAGTGCATGAACATATATCTCTGACACGGTCCTGCAGCACTGGCACAAAGCCAACTGGGTGACTTTGAAACGAGGACAGGAGACACGGGACAAAACACACGGAGAGATAACAGGAAAACTGTGTTTGAGGAGAGAAAGAAAATGCAAGAAATAGACAAAGTGAGGAAGGAAGCGTTGATGGTATCACAGGAGGGAAAGATGGAGGCAGAATATAAGCAGGATTGAGAAACTAAGTGATGGATGAGACTGAAGCCACGGAGAAACGATGATCGTCTGATGGATGACGAGAGAGGGGGAGAAAGGGGGAGATAAAGAGAGAGACAGATTATTAGATGAGTGCCGGCAGTTGGACTTCGCCTCCGGGGCCTCGTTTCGTTCTTCTTTACAGCAATTAGCGGACGCGAGCATTAAAACAGTTCTGGTGATTATGACGGTAATAATGATGGAAACGGTGGCATCTTTATGTGTGATTGATGGCTGCAGACACGCAGCTTCTGGAAGTATAAACTTGTGTTGCTGAGTCTGTCGTTAGCGGCTCATAATTACTGCTTCTGTTCAGGTCCAAGCAAAGGAACAGTGTCTTTTTCGTGTGTTTTCAAATGAACCTGATATACAAGTATATAGTCATTCTCAAATGGCGCACTGACCGTTACCATTTATTATATATTATATATATCAGACAAAACTAAAGGAGTAGAACCAGAGACCCAAATATTACGGCATTTTAACTGCAAACGTAGATGTAGGTTTCTCTGTGTGTATGTATATAAATACACACAGAAAGGAACACAATTCGATATATACACGCGTACGCATATAGACACACGTACACACATACACACGTACACATATAGTACACATATATACACATGTACATATATATACACATGAACAAATATACACACACGTACACATATGTGTACATGAACAAATATACACACACGTACACATATATACACATGAACAAATATACACACACGTACACATATATACACATGAACAAATATACACACACGTACACATATATACACATGAATAAGTATATACACACATATATACACGTACACAGATATACACATGAACAAATATATACACACGTACACAGATATACACACGTACACAGATATACACATGAACAAATATATACACACGTACACATATATACACACATATATACACACGTACACAGATATACACATGAACAAATATATACACACATATATACACACGTACACAGATATACACATGAACAAATACACACGTACACATATATACACACGTACACAGATATACACATGAACAAATACACACGTACACAGATATACACATGAACAAATATATACACACGTATTTACACACGTACACAGATATACACATGAACAAATATATACACACGTACACATATATACACACGTACACAGATATACACATGAACAAATATATACACACATATATACACACGTACACAGATATACACATGAACAAATACACACGTACACATATATACACACGTACACAGATATACACATGAACAAATACACACGTACACATATATACACACGTACACAGATATACACATGAACAAATACACACGTACACATATATACACACGTACACAGATATACACATGAACAAATATATACACACGTATTTACACACGTACACAGATATACACATGAACAAATATATACACACGTACACATATATACACACGTACACATATATGCACATGAACAAATATATACACACGTATATACACACGTACACAGATATACACATGAACAAATATATACACACATATATACACACGTACACAGATATACACATGAACAAATATATACACACGTATATACACACGTACACAGATATACACATGAACAAATATATACACACATATATACACACGTACACAGATATACACATGAACAAATATATACACACGTATATACACACGTACACAGATATACACATGAACAAATATATACACACATATATACACACGTACACAGATATACACACGTACACAGATATACACACGTACACAGATATACACTTGAACAAATACACACATACACATATATACACACGTACACAGATATACACATGAACAAATACACACGTACACATATATATACACACGTACACAGATATACACATGAACAAATATATACACACGTATTTACACACGTACACAGATATACACATGAACAAATATATACACACGTACACAGATATACACATGAACAAATATATACACACGTACACATATATACACACGTACACAGATATACACATGAACAAATATATACACACGTATATACACACGTACACAGATATACACATGAACAAATATATACACACATATATACACACGTACACAGATATGCACATGAACAAATATATACACACATATATACACACGTACACAGATATACACATGAACAAATATATACACACGTATTTACACACGTACACAGATATACACATGAACAAATATATACACACGTATTTACACACGTACACAGATATACACATGAACAAATATATACACACGTATTTACACACGTACACAGATATTCACATGTACACATACAACAATTTCCAAGATTACACTTTTCCTCCTATTTTTAAATCTATTATAATTATTATAATTTGTTTATAGTAAAACAAAACAAAACAACAAACCACATTTTTTGGGCTATGATATTTGAAGAGGTGTTTCTCACATAAACAACATTTAAAAGTCCTTTTGCCTTACAGTAATTGGCTTGTTCTTTAAGCTTCCTACATGTGATGTGATTGGTTGTCTTTCATCTCTTTGTTCTAACATCAAGACAGCGGCACTAGCTTCACTTTCTCTCTCACTCATAATGAAAAACACAGCGGTACCAGCAGGTGCAGCTTTAACATGGCGGACATGTTGTCGCCGAGCCGATCGTCATTAATTCCAACGAGGTTATAAACTGAGTGTTAATCATTCCTATTCGACTGAAGGTTTAAATGTAATATTTGGTTCCACGTGGTTACATCTCCTCTATTGCACCTCATCAACACACCGTCAGAATCTCAATGATGCTCGAGGCGTCGTGTGCATCCTAATAGAAACCAAAACACACCGGCATTTAAGTATACAGTCACAACCGCTCACACATGGGGGCATTTTTACCAATACAACTTGATTGACATGCAAATGCACACGTTGAAATCTGCACACAATCCATTTGCTCCCTGCTACCGCCTCACATGCTAATTACAGACGCTATATGCTTCTATATAAGAGTCTGTATAACAGCACATGCTTTCCTATAGGATGGAGGTAAACCTACACTTACACACAAATGGATATGGTGCACTTGTGTTCCCTTTGTAATATTTTCTTGGATAAAAGGAAATGGTTTTGATGAGTGAATCAACTTTTCCCCCTATTGAGCCCTATTGTATGAACCACAGGCTAAATGAGAAGGGGGACGGGGGGTACACTAATTATTATCATTATCACACTTCTCTATGGAGATGTGTAGTGGTGACGTATACATATGTGTACGCTAAAGGCAGCATCTCCCTGGTTTCCTCGACAAAACAGCCAGCGGATTTTATCAATTAGATTTTTTAATACAAAATGAGAAACGTTAAAGATACTTAGAGCTATTGTTCGGCTGGATTTTCTCCACATATTAACTCCACTTTATGATATTTGAAGCATGAATGCAATCACTTTTCAATCACATTTTAGACTATAAACTACAGCCCGGTCACATGACTTCACGTCACCACCGCTAAGCTAAAGGTGGCTAATGTTGGGCTATAAAGGAACTACAGCACGGTCACATGACTTCACGTCACCACCGCTAAGCTAAAGGAGGCTAATGTTGGGCTATAAAGGAACTACAGCACGGTCACATGACTTCACGTCACCACCGCTAAGCTAAAGGTGGCTAATGTTGGGCTATAAAGGAACTACAGCACGGTCACATGACTTCACGTCACCACCGCTAAGCTAAAGGAGGCTAATGTTGGGCTATAAAGGAACTACAGCACGGTCACATGACTTCACCTCACCACCGCTAAGCTAAAGGTGGCTAATGTTGGGCTATAAAGGAACTACAGCACGGTCACATGACTTCACGTCACCACCGCTAAGCTAAAGGAGGCTAATGTTGGGCTATAAAGGAACTACAGCACGGTCACATGACTTCACGTCACCACCGCTAAGCTAAAGGTGGCTAATGTTGGGCTATAAAGGAACTATAGCACGGTCACATGACGTCACCACCGCTAAGCTAAAGGTGGCTAATGTTGGGCTATAAAGGAACTACAGCACGGTCACATGACTTCACATCACCACCGCTAAGCTAAAGGCGGCTAATGTTGGGCTATAAAGGAACTACAGCACGGTCACATGACTTCACATCACCACCGCTAAGCTAAAGGCGGCTAATGTTGGGCTATAAAGGAACTACAGCACGGTCACATGACTTCACGTCACCACCGCTAAGCTAAAGGCGGCTAATGTTGGGCTATAAAGGAACTACAGCACGGTCACATGACTTCACGTCACCACCGCTAAGCTAAAGGTGGCTAATGTTGGGCTATAAAGGAACTACAGCACGGTCACATGACTTCACGTCACCACCGCTAAGCTAAAGGTGGCTAATGTTGGGCTATAAAGGAACTACAGCACGGTCACATGACTTCAGACGTTCTAAAATGCTGACTCATTCCATGGTTAAAGGACTCATTCCTGCACCCCTCTATAACCCTTATCCCCACTCTCTCTCTCCTCAGGTGCGTAAGTACCTGCTGATGCTGGACGTGAGGAAGGACCACGTGAAGTTCTGGCGGCCTCAGGTCCTGCTGATGGTCTCCAACCCTCGCAGCAGCGTGGGATTGATCCAGTTCATCAATGACATCAAAAAGAGCGGCCTCTACGTGCTCGGACACGTGCAGCTCGGAGACCTCGGTGAGAAACATCACATATTTACACATAACTCAACCCTCATGGTGGAGCAGACTTTTATTTTGAAATATAAAGATTAATCAGTTTTTTCTCCTGTGGACGATAAGGAAACAAAAAGGGTTTGTCAGGTCCAGAGGTCGCGTTAACCGAATATTTTCCGTCTATGACCGATTTTTTTTAACAATGACGGAAAAATCTGAAAGCAGTCCGTCATTTTGACAGATTAGAACAAACTCAGAACAGCGCCAAAGCTTCCCTGCAGCGAGGCTCCGGTGTTATGCATGCCCCCCAATAAGGAGATGATATCGTTTCCAAACCGTACTTTGCCGTACAAATCATTGAAATGTCTGTGAGTGCTTTACGCTGTGCCGCGCTCCCTCGAGGTGCAGTGGGCATGCATAACACCGGCGCTAACAGTTCACGAGCGTCATAAATCACGGATGGTAATGCCATATCGTCTTTGGAGATAATTAACAAATATTATAATATTTTTGAGGCAGCAATGACTACATTTAAAACCTTTTTATTATCACTGATTTGGCAAATTGTTGACTGTAAAGATTAATAATCACAGTTTACTTTAATGTCTTCATCCAGGACCGGTTCAAAAACTGGAGTATTTAAATTTGACTTGTCTGTTATTTGTTTTAAAACTTAAGTTACTGTTCAGATTTTGCAATAAAAAATCATGTGATAAACTTTTAACGTAATGCCGGTCTAAAGGTTAAACCACTCTTTGACGGGCAAAAAGGTAAACTCATCTTACAAATACTTAAAGGGGACCTATCATGCAAAATGCACTTTTGTACGTCTTTTCTACATGAATATGTGTCCCCGGTGTTCCAGGGAACTCACCAAGTGTCAGAAAACACAACCCTCTCTATTTTCCTCCATACCCAAATCTCTAAAAAAGGGGCTGCAACGGATCTGATAAAAACTGATCCAGATTTGAACACTGTCCTGACGTCAGGACGGTGGCGCTACGGCTATTGGGCCAACTCCACCAATCAGGAGGAGACAGCCACGGCCATTGCCGTTCGAAAGCGCTGGAGACGCTGTAGTACATATGCCAGGCCTCTAGGTGGTGCTGTTCTCACTGAATCTGCCCTTGCAAAAACAGATCTAAAAATGGTCAAATTGAGCGAAATGAGGCATGGCTAAAATGCATGATCTGTTTGGTATTTTGAAAAAAAAAAAGTATAAATATGCCTTATATAGGTATGGTCCTATACTATATTATTCAAATATAGCATGATAGGTCCACTTTAAGAAAGAAAGTCGTAAATATGAATAATCGGTATTTGTTTGTCTACAAAGATGCTTGTGGATGCAACCAACTATCCAATACTGTTATATCCTGTATGTATAATAATACATCACAAATGAAGGCTTTTCTTTGCAGAAGGAGTACTTATCTACATTCTGTACTTTCATCTCATTATTAAACATAGGACTTGAAGTATTTTGACACTAATTAATTGCTACTTCTTCCATCTCTAATGAAAGGACCTTATCCACACGCTGGATCTTTCCCAGCCTGTTATGCAGCGTCATTCATTGTTTTTTATTTGGTCTTTTGAGGATGTTGTTGATGATTTTCCCGGCCTGAATGGAGTATTCAAAATCTAAATCCTCTCAGTGTAAAAAAACGACGTGTTCATTAGCCTCTGAACAACCCTTCTCTCATTTTGACTACTGATGAGGCACTTGGTATGGAGAAATATGAAGGAGTCATTCATGATCACATTGAAGAGGAGGACCCTCTCCAACATCGCCCTCCTAATGTACTTAAACTCCATTTAGTTATACTCTCACTTGTCTAGCAGCTGTTTGCGTTCAATCTGAATACAGAGATGCTTCTGGGATCCTAACGCAGCCTCAGAAACCAAAGGAATCGTCCCTGAAACTTGCAGATGTAGCTTCTAGATGAATATTGATGTATTTGTTGTTGATGATTGATCACCTGCCTGCCTGTTTGTGCTGCTCTGTGTTTTGTCTCATATTACTGTCGATGCTGAGCTTCTTTCTCTTGTTTCGCCACAGCTAACGGTCTCTCACCTCCACACACACCGAGTTCTCTCACCTCTACTTTGATTTTTAGATAATTTGAGGCTGTAAGAGGCAGTTGTGGAAGAAACACTCAAGTACTCTATACTCAAGTAAAAAAAGTAGCAATACTAAATTGTAAAAATACTCTGTAACAAGTAAAAATCCTGGTAATCTCAATCTGTAAACTACCCACGGCTTTATAGCCCAACATTAGCCACCTTTAGCTTAGCGGTGGAGACGTGAAGTCATGTGACCGTGCTGTAGTTCCTTTATAGCCCAACATTAGCCACCTTTAGCTTAGCGGTGGAGACGTGATGTCATGTGACCGTGCTGTAGTTCCTTTATAGCCCAACATTAGCCGCCTTTAGCTTAGCGGTGGTGACGTGAAGTCATGTGACCGTGCTGTAGTTCCTTTATAGCCCAACATTAGCCGCCTTTAGCTTAGCGGTGGTGACGTGAAGTCATGTGACCGTGCTGTAGTTCCTTTATAGCCCAACATTAGCCGCCTTTAGCTTAGCGGTGGTGGCGTGATGTCATGTGACCGTGCTGTAGTTCCTTTATAGAGTGGCGAAGTCCCTCCCACTTACTTCCGGGGTATGGGACCTTATTTCGGAAAAATTATGCATTGAAGTCAATGGGGAGAGAAAACTTATCTTTCGATCCCGTTTGAATTGTGCCATGAATTACACATATGATGTTTGTCAATCTTAAAAAATCATTTCCATGTCAAAAAAGTCACAGTTTGTCGTAAAACTGTTGAAATATAAGACTATGAAAAATACGTAACTAGAAAGACTACAAATCCCAGAGTCGCGTAAGTGATGTCACAATTGTTTTCCTCCACCATTCAGATACCTAAGATCAGCGCAATATAGATATAATCTATCTATATGGCGCTGGCTAAGATAAGATAACTTTAACAAGATGCCTGTGTGCTTAGTACCAGGTTGTTATTATACCAGCAATGGGTCTTGCTCGTTCTTTTGCTTCCCGTCTGATGAAACGACCAGGAGTGGCTTGATCAAGTTAGCTACCTAGCTAGTAGCTAGCACGTTAGTTAGCATTACAGCCTTGTCATTTTTATTAGCCTTAACATGAAGTAACATTAAGTAACCCAAAATGTTAAACAGGAAGAGTAGTAGTCATATTTCGTGAACCCTTTGAAGAGTACTGTCACCGGTGTGATCATTCTATAATACACCATTTAATTCCGGGGGAGAAATGCTAATGCTAACGTTAGCCTCGGCGATCTTTTCTACTTCATGCTATCTGCACAAATGGTTGACATTAAACATTAAAACGACCAGGCAGTTCAGAGAGAATCAAAGGAAGGCAGGCAGGCAGCTTTGCATGACATTCTTCAGGACGTGTTTCATTGTGGTGATAGTGAGGATAGTCAATCGTTTGTTGACAAGACAGTAGTGACGGCCATCTTGGTGACGTGTGTTGTTGACCAGAGATGTAGTTCATTGAGCGTTTCACACAAACAAATGTGTTACTTCACAGTTTTACGACACATTTTTTTTTTTTTTGACTTGCAAAATTATCTTTTAAATTGACAAACATCATATGTGTAATTCGTGGCACAATTCAAACGGGATCGAAAGATAATCTTTCTCTCTCCATTGACTTCAATGCATAACTTTTCCGAAATAAGGTCCCATGGAGGTCCACCGGAAGGGGAGGGACTTCGCCACTCTATAGCCCAACATTAGCCACCTTTAGCTTAGCGGTGGTGACGTGAAGTCATGTGACCGTGCTGAAGTTCCTTTATAGCCTAATGTTAGCCACCTTTAGCTTAGCGGTGGTGACGTGATGTCATGTGACCGTGCTGAAGTTCCTTTATAGCCTCAATTTAGCTTTTAACTTCAGAAATCATAAAGTGGTGTTAATATGTAGAGATTATCCTGATGAACAAAATATGTAAACGTTTGTTTGTCACAGATCTTATTTTCTTCAATAATCCCAAATCAAATGGAAAAATCCCATTGGCTTTTTCTCAAAGGAACCAGTGAGATACTACCTTCCAGTTCAGCCTACACAAATACGTTGTCACCCCTCTTTCACCAACCCAACACTATGACTGCAATATCGAAACATTGCTTTTTTGCTCAAATATACAGCAGTTTTCTCCACATTTCTCCCATCCTGACCTTTTCCTTCCTCTCTGATCCTGTGAACCCCAACACACTTCACCTCCAGTATATTCACCTGATTCCTTTGTGTTGTCCTCCTCCAGACACTCTCCCCTCCGACCCTCTGCAGTCGCAGTACGACTCCTGGCTCTCTCTGGTGGATCATCTGAACATCAAGTCTTTTGTCAACCTGACGTTGGCCGACTCTGTGCGTCATGGCGTCCAACATCTGCTCTTCATCTCAGGCCTAGGTCAGTGTCTCCATCATCAGACACACAAACAACACAAGATCCTCATTAGTTCTGATATTATAATCAAAGCCACTGCTGTATGTGAGGTATTGTATGTGATCATTGCATCTTTTTAACTTTAATGTTGGCACATGTCGGTCATTGGACAATCCAGATTTGGCGCGGCAAGCTTTTCTAAATATGTTCAATTTGTGAATAAAGTTATCGTGTTATTCCTCCTTCTTCCCCTCTTCTCAGGCGGGATGCGTCCCAACACCCTCGTCCTGGGTTTCTACGACGACTCTCTGCCAAAGGACACTCTCATCGACCCTTCTCTCTCCATCTGTCCGACCTCTGACCCGCGGGATCTTTACAGGACTTCGATCATGACCAGGAGACGCCTCTCTTCCACTTCTCCTCCGTTCGGGGGTCCGTTGACCGACAAGACGGCGGGGAAATCGGCGACGGGAAGGTTCTCGGCCCTCAGGAGTACGTCGCGATCATCGCAGACGCCATGAAGATGCTCAAAAACGTCGTGTTGGCTCGAAACTTCAACGATTTCGACCGCTCCGTGGTCCTCTCCCCTTCCTCTCCGGTGTTTGTGGACGTGTGGCCGGTGAATCTCCTCCGCCCCGACAGCTCTAGCTACGTCGACACATGCTCTCTTTTCCTGCTTCAGCTCGCCTGCATCCTCAACATGGTGCGGTCGTGGAGAAAAGCTCGTCTTCGTCTCTTTTTGTGCGTGGAGGAGGGTCGTAGCGTCCGGGGGTCGGAGGAGAAACTGGGTCAGCTCCTCAAAGAGCTGCGGATCAAAGCTCAGGTAAACGGCTCAAAACACGCTCATTTTAGAATAATGAAAATGAAACCTGGACATTACGCTTCAGGTTCAGGTTCAGGGTCTTTATTTGTGCCCCTAGGTAGATTTAGTTTGCAGATCAAAAGACAACATCCTGACACACTCTAAACACAGACAACAGACACATCACTGATCAAAGTACACCCTGCTCCGTCGAATCTCAAAATATTTAAAAACATTTAAAAAGAAAAACTCTAGTACACGACACAAACTCTAAATCTTGCCAAGTATATTGTGTCTAATATCTATCAGAATATGTCTCTACTCTCTACATAATAACTTCAGAAGTAACACTGCAGTGAGATATCAGGTCTTGTTTTTAGACAAGGCATCATCTTGTTAAGTCCAAACATCTTATTTTGAGTTGTATCTCAGATGAAACACATATTTGTTTACACATTTATTGGAAAATCACCAGAAAACGTAACACTTTTGAGTATTTGCGACTTATATTATAACACAAGATTTCCTGATTCTGGTCAAATATAGTTCAGAATGAGTTCTCGCAGCTAATTATAAGATCAGATTTTTCTAAATATCCCGTCTTATTTCAAGAAATCTAACCAAGCAAATGTTCACTTGTTCTAGTGGCAGATTTTTGTACTTATTTCAAGTGAAAACAGCTTGTTTTCAATATTGTTTAACTTGATTTTGGAGCAGCATTGTTTCCAGTGACTCGTCTAACAAATCCCGACCGTCTTCTTTGAGTTCTCAGCTTGTAACCAACCATGATTTTTAAACTCCTATTTTGATTGTTATCAGCAGATTAGCGTCCTTATGATTAGTTATCACCTCTTTTGTAATGCATCAGACGAGCCAAACTGATCCTACTATGTTGAAAAAGTGAAAGAAACATAACTCTTTGGAAATAAACCAAACTCAAGCTTCTCTCGACTAAAATATTTGTATGTTTAGTCAACCAAACTAAAATCGTTTTAGGGTTGGGTCTCCAGAATGTCTACACAAGTCACACTTAAGCCACCTGACTTCTGCCTTGGTGACTTGATTATATACTCATATGAAACGCGTCTTTTTAAAATAGCCTTTTACTAGATTTTTAAAACCCCACTTGTTGTTGCCATGCCGACGTAAACATTGCTGCTTTTATTTTGTTGTTTTGTTTCAACCCTTTTACTCTGTAGCACTTTGAGTTTTGTTTACTCAAATGCGCTTATAAATAAAAATGTATTATTATTATTATTCTCAGGTGCTCTCCGTGCCCTGGGACCAGCAGGTGGCGCTACACTGGCAGCGGCAAGGCGAGAGGAAACAGCAAAGTGACACAACCAACGAAGACAAAGAGAAGATCGAGGAGGAGGAAGAGGACTACGTTAACAGCTTCCCGAGTAACGCCACGCGACTTTCTGACGACTACCTCTCCGCCGTTAATAAGCTGATCTTAGACCCGGCGAGACCCCCCCCTGCTGTGCGCTTCCTGTACCTACCCAGACCCCCTGCTGACACGCGGCGCTACACAACCTACCTGCACCAGCTGGAGCTGCTCACTCAGGACCTGGGCCCCACGCTGCTCATCCACGGAGTCACACCCGTCATCACCACCGACCTTTAACCTCCCGCCTCTGAACATGTTAAGAAAATCTCACTCGTCCCCGGCTTGAGCTTCAATCTCAGGATCCATGTATTTGTGATCCTCTCCAGAATGGAAGTAGTCATCACATACAGAGCATCAACTAGTTCCTGAACAGTGTCCTTCACATGCTGATATCCAAGAGAGGGAGATACACAGTCACAAGATGGAGGAATACCGGTTCTTCTTGGTAATCATACTGTACATCCTGTCATGTTCAAAATACTGACTTTTTTCTCAAAATGTTGGCTTTTTTTCTGACTTTCTCTAAAAATTCCGACTTGTTTCTCAAAATCTAAATATCCAGATTTTTTTCTCAAAATCTCAACATTCTGACTTTTTCTCAAAAATCTGACTTTTTCTCAAAAATCTAACTTTTTCTCAAAAATGTGACTTTTTCTCAAAATCTCAAAATTCTGAGAGGGAGTTACACAGTCACAATATGGAGGAGTTTTTATCTCAAAATGTTGGCTATTTTCTGAAAATCTGAAAATTCTGTATTTTTCCAAAAATTCTGTATTTTTCCAAAAATTCTGTATTTTTCCAAAATTCTCATACATCCTGTCATCTACACAGCTACAGTTGGGATACCTTTGTTATCATGTGTACTCTAATATTGGAAGAGGACATTCAGTATTTTCCCAACAGATAAGGTCTTTGTTGTGATAGTTTCCATCTGAAAGACACGGCCAAAATCAAGCTTTTCATCAAATGTTTACAGTGTCATAACGGGTGCTTTTCTGAAAAATGTATCATCACCCGAAACCTCGGCAGCCTCTGAAATATGACAGCGGTGCTACTGCCTCATTCTCACTGCCTCGCACAATGTCATGTCCATACAGCTCCTTTTAGAATATTGAAAATGAATCCTGGACATTACGCTTCAGGGTCTCAAACATCCTGAGCGTCTCCGTTGAGTTCTCAGCTTGTAGCTCCAGTTTTCCCAAACAACCATGATTTTTAAACACCTATTTTGAATGTTATCAGCCGATTAGCGTTATTATTATTAGTTATCACCTCTTTCATCAGACGAGCCAAACTGCTCCTAGTATGTTTGAAAAATGATTAAAACATAACTCTTTCAATGTTAACCACACTAAAGCTTCTCGACTAAAATATTTTGATGTTTAGGGACCAAAATTAAAATCGGTTAGGGTTGGGTATCCCGAATTTCTCGCTATAAGGTAAGTTTCAGACACAGGCAATTCAAAGTGCTTTACAGTACATCAACATTAACACTTAACAAGAAGACAAGAGAAAGCAACACAATAAATAAACATAATGGAATAACACATTCATAAAACCCACGCATAAAAGAGATGCAGAATAGTTTAAAAGCAACATGGTAATACAGTAGGTGCTAAAACAAGACTATTGACTATTAACACCTGACCACTGCCTTGGTGACTTTATGAACAACTCAGTTGGCGTTGTCTTGTTGAATTCCTTCTGTTGTGGTCTTCCATATGAATAGATGATGAAACCCAGTAGTGGGTGAAGCCGCCTCTGACCCCCATCTGTAAACGGCTGATAACCACTGGTCGACTGATAACATTCAAACTGGGTGATTTTAAGCCATTCGGTCCACTTAGTTGCATGAAACACTCAGACCGGCTGAATGAACCGCAGCGAAGTTAACAGCTTAACAGAAAACTGTGCCAATCACAAGCCTGCAGGACAATTATAAATCAGTATCTAATGTTCAGGGAAACTTTGAGATGATCAGCCACGTCTTGATGCAGATCCACGACAGAGAGAACCTCATCTGAACCCCCCTTTGTTTCCTTTCTTTATGTGTTTTCTTGCTGCTCAAATTCCCTTCAAACGATCTTTCCAGATGCCTTCAGATCCAGAAGTGCCTCGCTGGTTTAGGGAGCTTTCAGTTTGGACTCTTTCCATCTCTGACAGAAAGTTGGACCGCGTCTGAGGAAATCTGCTTTTCCCATTTGAGAAGCGTTAGAACAAAGGAATCAGTTTAACACAATGGTAACGGCGGTGCTACTCAAGAAGTCTTACATCCCACAGATATTTCTACGTGGGATCTCAGGGCGACATTCCTCTTTTTCCAAATGCACTTTTGTTCTTCCTCTACCAAACTGCATGATGTGCCGCGCTCCAAAAACTCCTTAAACATGTTTACAGCGCCCATTACTACTGTGACTACCCCGATGTTTCACTGATTTAACATTGGTATTTATCTTTAGGTGCTTTTACATTAATTTTATTCACGTTGCTTTTCCAACTTTAACGCTGAAGTGCTTAAATTAATCTTAATATTTGCCTTTACCCAAAGTATTGTAACGTTTAAAGTGAAGCTATGTAACTTCTGTAACAGGATAATGGTAACACATAATGAACCATTTGCAAAAAGGAAAGGCAGAGAAATATAACGGCATGTCATCTGCATAGCATCAACCATCTACAGATGCTAACATGAGCTAACCAAAGCCTCCATAAAGTCACCCTGAGTTTACTGAACTGAGATAATTGTACGGTTTACATCATGTAAACTCAATGTGTCCTTTGTAGGAGGAACAATGTAGTATCCGTTCCGTCAAAAGTTACATAGCTTCTGTTTCACGTTTTGTGGCAAATAGTATTTCCATTCCTTGAAGCGTCAATCGTTTTTGTCCAACCCAGTTTAGATTTGACCGAAAGCATCGATGCAGCTTCATCCTTCCAGTTTTCATCCCACTAAAGTTTTAATTTGACAGCTACAGTTGCTTCATAGAGATTGACAATTGATGAGATTGATTGAAACTAGCACTTTTTAAATGTGTAAGTAAATGTTAATTCATGTCTTAATTTGAAATGGTAAAACGACTATTTATCAGGTCTCTTCAACCCCTCAAAGCTCTTTACATACTACAAGTCATTCTCCCATTCATGCACACACACACACACACACACACACACACACACACACACACACACACCAGACTTTAGTTCCACCTGGAGTAAATTCACAAGCTACCCTGCAGTATACAAAGTCATTCAAACTAGCTGCACCTTTACTAGCTTTGAGAACACTTTCATGATCAATCATTATAAAACATATCATATATATTATTCAAGTACAAGATCTAAGTACTTATCCCACCTCTGTTTATATCTATTATATTAAATAATCCGCTGTATTGTTTTTCAGTGCAGTGACTGAATGCTAACTGCTAGCTGCAGTCCGCTAACCCCCCATTGAAGTTGTGCTAAACACTGAATTTATTAAATATTGCATCCCATATTGTTTTTTTCCCCAAAGAGTAGGCGTGATATTACTTGAGGGCGTGGTCAAATCTAAACTGGGTTGGAAAGACGCTTCTTTGACACATCGATGCAATCTACTTTTCTCTAAATGTCCATTCCAGGTTTATAATGTGATTTTTTGAAATGCAATCGGACGAAGTGTGATACATATCTGAAGAAATGCTGGTACTTGTATTTGAACTTGTGTTTTAAATGAGATGTATGTTTACTTTCTTAAACTCACATGAGCACCTCAAATAATTATTAGTAGAAGAGATAAAGTGTGTTTGATTTCCCGTTCAAATCTGAGATGTATATTTATATATATTTTACAGCATGGAAACCGATATGACTGAAAGAAAATAAAACGTTATTGTATTGTACGCCCTGTCTGTTTTATTTTCTTCCTCTGGGGATTGTTTGAGATTAAAGTTAACAAACGGCTTTTGTTTCATTTAGTGGGAATGGGAATTCCCACTAAATGTTCTTCCACGGACGAAAAGTTTATTATTATTCCGTCCAATTATTTTGTCCGTCTTCTCCTCCCACATTCAACATCGCATTAACTCCGTTCAAACATCAAAACGTTCAGCTCGGTCGGGAATCGCAGGCTATTACTTATCATTCATAACTTTCATAATTCCAGAGATACATCCCATAATACATCAAATTTTTAACATTGAAGTCAATGGAGATATTCTTCACACTTCAACAAATCTTCATGCGACTTCAACTGCACACTGTTCATTCATACTTTCACTCAGAAACCTCATTCCAACTTTCAAATGTTACACATCTTTCTGACATTATCCGTGTAACACAACTTTTAAATCTGATTCTTACTTTTAGAGATATTAAACATTGTTCAGACCTTGTTAAAGAGGTTTTCTTCAGATTTTAACATTAACTAGAGTGCGTGATGTCACAGCTAGAGGGTGAGAAATCTTGAAATGTGCCTTCATATATTTTTTTAAAACTGCCATAATTCCCAAACCCTACCTTCTTGAGACATCATTTTTTATGATAAACGTAGGAAAACATCTCGTAGCTTGAAAAATGACAAATAATTAGGCAAAATAATTAAACAAAATGCCTCTTGAGGGCATGAAGTGACAAAAACGTTCAACATGTCTCCATTAAAGCCCATTGTAAATTCAGGCAGATATTTCCTCACAGCAGCAGCCGCACACCTTTCTTAAACTGCCAAAAAGGCCACATTATTAACCCGAAAGTACACAAAAATTACACTTCAGATACTCAACTTCCTTGACATGCTTCACGTTTTGAAATTTCACAGATATCTGTTATCGTTCTTCCACAAAACGTTCACATGTAAGAGGTTCATCTCTCATTGAGAACAATGAAACCTTTGAAGTCTAGGCACCTCGTTAGCTTAAAGATGAACACCTGTGCAATGGAACACGATGATGTCATCACTCCAACTGACAGCAGTCAGTTCTAACTGTTCATTTCTCACACACACACACACACACACACACACACACACACACACACACACACACACACACTCTCCCTCTCTCTCACAATCTCTCTCTCTCTCTCTGTTCAAAAAGTGCTCAAACTTCACATGTGTGCTAACAGTCCAGCCGTGAAGACATCTACGGGACAGTTTTGAGATTTCTTCAAATGCCGTTGCCATGGCGACAGACCACTCGCCATGAAGCACGATGTCGCTGTAAGTCCAATGGACACGGTCCGATCGTCCCCCAATCTTCACGTGTATATCACCGGTCCATGCCTCAACAGCTATACGCCAAATCTGAGATCTCACCATATGCCGTTTCCATGGAAACGCTTCCCTCGCCATAAAAGTCGATGTCGCTATAACTCCTATGAAAATGTTTAAAAAGTACTCAAACTTCACATGTGTGCTAACAGTCCAGCCGTGAAGACATCTACGGGACAGTTTTGAGATTTCTTCAAATGCCGTTGGCATGGCGACAGATCATTCACCATCAAGTTAGTTCAAAGGTTTGCAGTTCAAATATTCTGCTGCTTTTCCAAGCCTTTTTACTCTCTTTTCTTCTCTCATCACACATTCAAGCCCCCAGTGTTCATGTATCATTTCAATCTAAATTCTTCACTTTCTTCTTACACATTACATTTCAGCATAAAGCATTCCCACTAGCAATTTCTTCAGGAATTGCATTCTCTAGTTTCATCTGAAGCCCAGTGTTTTTGTCCGCTGCACTTTTGGGGGTAAACTTACTTCAATCAGGAGAGACGGTTTTGATTTAAGAATACATATTTATTGCCAGGAATACACAAATGAATGTAATGGAGTTTTGGCGGTTAGGCCCCGTAGTGCAGGAGTATCATTCGGGAGGGGAGAACCGATCCGATGAAACCCCCCGGGGTCTAGACCCTGGTGGTGGTGAATGGGTAGTTGGGTTCGGTCTGAAGGGGAGGGGCTTAGCTTGACCCTGGTGGTGGTGAATGGATAGTTGGGTTCGGTCTGAAGGGGAGGGGCTTAGCTTGACCCTGGTGGTGGTGAATGGGTAGTTGGGGTCGGTCTGAAGGGGAGGGGCTTAGCTTGACCCTGGTGGTGGTGAATGGATAGTTGGGTTCGGTCTGAAGGGGAGGGGCTTAGCTTGACCCTGGTGGTGGTGAATGGATGGTTGGGTTCGGTCTGAAGGGGAGGGGCTTAGCTTGACCCTGGTGGTGGTGAATGGATAGTTGGGTTCGGTCTGAAGGGGAGGGGCTTAGCTTGACCCTGGTGGTGGTGAATGGATTGTTGGGGTCGGTCTGAAGGGGAGGGGCTTAGCTTGACCCTGGTGGTGGTGAATGGATAGTTGGGTTCGGTCTGAAGGGGAGGGGCTTAGCTTGACCCTGGATTCAGAGGGACAGGAGGTGCAAAGGGGTGGAGGAGGGTTGCGTCGAGTCACCTGAAATGACAGCTGTCGGAGGGGGGAGAGCAGATTTAAAAGGTTTGGCAGAGCGCTATGATAGGCTCTTGGGAATAGAGCGAAGTGATTGGTTAAGCTGGGGAGTGACGCCCCCGATCACTTATTGAGAGGAGAGAGAGTAGTGACATGGGAATAGTGAATAGACGGTCTTCCTGGTTGAATTTACGCTGAGCTTCATGAAATAGGAGGTGAGAGAGTTCCCCAGCTACAGGACAGAGATACTAGCAGCTCAATTATCTCGTCCTACAGTCGCCTCGCGCCAACCGGGCTGAAATGGATTCCATTTCCGCTCTGAGGTGAACAACAGATTGCAGGAATAATCCATCGATATCTGGCTCGGGAGGGGGAGCTGACATTTATCACTGAGAGGATTTCAGGTTCGTGTGCAATAGGTGCAGGACTGACTGATGCACAAGGAAATGTTTCTGTGGCATTTTCTGACCAAACGGCCTGCTACAGAAATAAATACCTTCCATGTATACCCCCATGTGAGGAAAATAATATAAGAACATGTAATGTAAGTTGACAATTGTATGCAACTCCTACACTTTCTTGGTTTAAATGTTGCCTTATTTCATGGATTCGATTTTTTCCGATGCACTACAATACAATAAGTGTATTACCAATGTGTTTTGTCTGTATGTTAAAAAATAAGTAGAGCCTACAAAACTCTTATGGTAGGTTTTTTCACATACAGGTTTTAGAGTGTTTTATACGAGTCAAATCGCCCTATTTAATATGGTATACAATTGTTTTTTTTAACATTTTTATGGCTACGAGTGTCGTCTTTTGTCTGCACGTTTAAAGGGGTTTCTGGTGCCTCATTGGCTCATATTGTGGACCAATTAATATTCACCGTAGTTTCATTTTTGCTGGACGAGTGCCTTTTCTGAAAAACACCTTATCGGAACACCTTTTTAAGAACTATGAGTTTATGCAATGCGGACACAAAAGAGAACCATTAGAGTTCCTATGGTGTGAAAACATATGAAAAATACAAACTTTATAAAGCACTTTATAGTGTTGACAATGTATTCTCCAATTTGCAAACAGATACCATCCAATTAGAACAAATGGGAAACTCAAACAAAAAAATACAACCCGATTTTGTTCTTTCCAAATTCATTCATTAACATAAAATCTCTCTTTGTTTAACAGAAGATGACAGAGGATTTCTTTGTGTTTTTAGACGTACTATTGTTTGCCAAGAATCACTCTAATGACTTATATGCACTTATACACATATTAAATAAATACAATATAAGATAGCCATGCAATTTAAGTTAAAATAATCTTGTTGTTTTAGTTGTTTATCATGAAACGCTTATTTGTCACCAAAGTTTGACTCATTTCCCTCCAAACACTTCAGGCCTCAGAAGTGCTTTCTGCATTCAGAGCTCGTTAAAACAAAACAGCTGTAGGCGACAACAAGAAGAGGGTGTGTGTGTGTGTGTGTGTGTGTGTGTGTGTGTGTGTGTGTGTGTGTGTGTGTGTGTGTGTGTGTGTGTGTGTGTGTGTGTGTGTGTGTGTGTGTGTGTGTGTGTGTGTCTGACAAAATCAAAGATGTAGACTGAGTGCCTCGGAGTCGAACACTCTGCTCTGTCATGTCTGCATCTTGATCAGAGGGAACTTGTCACTTCCTCCATGTGTCATATTCCTAACCACCGGGCAGACACACACACACACACCACACACACACACACACACACACACACACACACACACACACACACACACACACTTCTAATTTGCACCACGCTTTCCCTTCCCTTCCCTGCCTCTCCTCTTAATTCTACACGACACACAGATTGCAGGATTTCAGGAAGAGGATGGTGTGTGTGTCAGGGGGAATTTGGTCACAGCGACACACAGATTTAAATACTAGTTTTAGGTTTTGGAGCCCAAACACACCCCTGGCTTTTCCTACGAATCATGTCTGCATACCAATATGTGTGTGTGTGTGTGTGTGTGTGTGTGTGTGTGTGTGTGTGTGTGTGTGTGTGTGTGTGTGTGTGTGTGTGTGTGTGTGTGTGTGTGTCAGATCGCACTAGGACAGAGTTCACTGCACGTTAAACTCTGCTAAAACACTTTTTTACGTGCAATATGTTTTTAGCTTCATGTCTCTTTGTTAACTCTAATTCAGTCTTTACATTGAGTTGGATTGTAGCCAATAGAAGCACGAGTGTTACATAGTGATGTCACTATGTACTGGAAGTAAACAAAGGAGTCCAATGGATGTGTTTCAGGCAGCGGGGGGGGGTGGGTGAAACACAGGGATTTTAGCCTTTGCAGACCATTTACATGCAAAACACCTCCTTGTGTGTTACCCTAACACATTACAAATACCTTGAATTATGACATTTTCTTGTAAAAACGTGCAGGTATTCTGTGTTTTGATCTCGTTTTTCTAAATGAATGCAGGGTCGTTAGTGAAATGGTGAATGGAGGACTATTAG